ATATATATATATATATATATATATATATATATATATATATATATTTAATTTTTTTTTAAATAAAAAAAATTATTTTTTATTTATTTTATTTATTTTTTTTTTTTAATTTTTTTTTAATTTTCAAAACAATATGTTTACAGTACTGAAAATAACTACATGTAACTACCTATAGTAATTCATAGTTATGTTCGTTTTTTCCCCATATTTTTAGTCGATCAATTGTATACACACACGAATACTGACTTGTACAAAATAAATTCATAAAACCCCAACAAAAATTTACAAATTTAAATATTTTTATTATAAATCACATCAGAACCAATAAAATACAAAACGAAAATACATAAATATACGCATATATAACTACATGTAACTACATGTTACTATAGTAATGTATAGTAATGTATACAGTCTGTTGAACAGATCTGATGTAACTTAAAAAAACAAAAATTTGACACCTTCAAGGAAAGGATCAATGGCCTTCATTAAGCTGCAATTGAAAAATCAAAACAAAAAGAAATTACTTTAGTGCAAATCAACAAATTTGAATAAAAACATCAAAACACTCAAAAATCACCAAACATTATTAAGAGATCGAGAGATAGAGATAGAGGTTATTGCTGGGAAATGCAAAAAAAATATAGAAATAAATCTGAAAAGATAAAAATAAACGAAATTACCATCAAAATATAGATCCCGACGAGAGGAATCCAACGGTGGATGACCCGTCAAATTTCGACGGGTGGAACACAAAATAAAGCTCCGGCAAGACCACCGTCTTCGAATGAAAAAAAATTGCAGAAACAGATCCGCGCTCGAAACTGAATGAAATCACCACCAAAAGAAAGAGCTCGACGAGAGGAATCCAACGGTAGTTAAACCATCGAATTCCGACCACCGGAGAGAGAGTTATGGCTCCGGGAAGCAATTTCGCCGGTGAGAGGTTTGCAGGGGCGGGATTTTGAATCTGGGAGAAGAAGAGAGAGACCGTGAGTGGCTAGGGTTAAAACTGATTTTAGAAGGGTATTATAGGTACTTCAGGGTAGCCCGGGGGGTATGTCAAAATATTTTCGAAATGAGGGGGGTTTCACCTAGAGTGTAATCCACTTGGTAGTTAGTTCTATATAATTTGGAAATGAGGGGGTCTACAAAATAATCCCTTTATAAATATACTCCTATGTTTTTAATATGTTACATATTTCCCCCCAGTTCTCATAACCTCATTCAGAGGACATGTAATTTTCCCGTATCTGTTTCCCCATGTCACAGTTTCTGTGTCGTGCTACAAAGCTTATTATACAAACACTTCAAAAATTAATTTTAAAACGTAACAACTTATCAGCTCTTAAAACAACTCATCAGATGTAAGAATTTATCAATTATTTGAAGTTAGCTTAATCAAATAGGTTATAGCCTTATAGGTACTTTCTTAAAAGATCTTATAAGTCATCGAAATACTTTTTTTTTTAAAAGATCTTTCTAGAAATAATACCAAACACTTTGAAAAGAAATAACAAATAAAATGCAAAAGGAAGGAATACATATAAATAAACAAATAAATAAATTAGTTATCTAAGTTGTCATGTTTCAGTTTTACATAAAATAACGATGCAAAATTTGTATTTCTTATCGAACTTCACCCTTTGTTTAATGATGTAGTTAGCAAACTCGTCGAAAATTATTTATATGGACACTTAAATACTACAAACGTTATCCTAACTTATTTTGTAAATTCATCTTCTCACATAGTCAAAATCCTATCAAAGCTAAGATGTCGAATTTATAACTTTTAAGCGTCCATATAAGTAAAGTCCGTTTTAAGTTTATTTGTCATGTCTTAAAACTAAAAGTTCTTGCAACATAGCCCAAAAAAATACTATATTTGCAAAGTTATTGCTAGCAGAATTGAAATATAACAGGGCTAGAGGACTAAATCCATAAATAGGCCAATATAGAGGACCAAAACTACAATTTACCAAAAAATAAATAGAATTTTCTAATCATTCAAACAAAGGAAGAGAGAACATTTTATATAGCAATAATAATAATAATAACAAGTCTAAAGGGAGAGAATCAATCAGCTACAAAAGAAACTAATCTCACTTTAATTTGTCTAATCTTGAAAAATAGCACTGTACAACAAAAACACTCTTCCCCTATTCCTTTTGCTATCCACTACCTACTCCTCACAGTGATCCAATCTTCCGACGCCTCGAAAACGTTTTCCGATTCATATTTCGGCATCAACTTCTTCACTGTGAAAGAAATCATCTTATCCACAACAAACTCGTCGTCGTCGGACGAATAACTACCGTCCGATTCGTAACTCGCGAAATCTACAACGCTAGTCGGCGAAAACGAAACCCCCTTCCGCGAATTACTCACAAAACTCGCCTTTCTCGTAACGAATGGATGGCAGAGCAATTCCTCGCTCGTCCATCTCTTTCGAGGGTCCCGCTGCAAGCACTTTGACAGAAAATCCAACCCCTCCGACGAAAAATGCCTCGGAAATTCGGGAATCTCGTTTCCTTTCGCAATCTTTAAAAGTGCAGCCATTGGATTCGCTGCGTCGCCGCCCCACGGTGGCCTCCCTGTAGCCATCTCGATAATCGTGCATCCTAAAGACCAAATATCCGCGGCGAAATCCAGCCCTTCGTTTCTCACTACTTCAGGAGCCATCCAAAGAGGAGTCCCTCCTATCCCAATTACGCAAGACTTTCTCGATTTTTTATCGCACAATCTCTTCGCGCATCCAAAATCGGCGACTTTTATAGCTCCTAACGAATCCACGAGCACGTTTTTGCACTTGATGTCGGAGTGCACAATCCCGTTTTTGTGCAAGTACTTCAAGCCTTGAAGAATTTCTCTAGTGTACAAACGAATCAGTCTCTCGTCTAACGACCCTCCAAATTTCTGTGACAGATCGGATAAGCTACCTCCCGCCATGTACTCGAAAAATAGGTTGTAGTTCGTCTCGCCATTTCTGGTAAAAGAGACATCTTTTCCTACGCATTTAACTATGTACCGAGAATCGAGATTCTCGAGAATTTCGGCCTCGTTTTTCAGCGACATGATCCCGGCTTCCGTTTTCGCTGATTTAGCAACGAAAAGTGCTCCGGTAGAAGTATCTACAGCCAAATGAACAGTGCCGAACGAACCCGACCCTATTACACTGCCCTTTAGCCAATCAGCCATTTTCTCTTCTCTTGGTCCTTTTCCCAAACACCTTGCGTGCATGAAATCGTTCGATCACTCTCCGAATAATCGGCAAAACCCGATCGGTGGCCCGAAATTCGGAGTGTTTCGAGATGCAGACAGATGCTGGGATTTATTGAAATCCCACCAAGTTGCATAATGCAACAACAACGGCAAAATCAATAGAAGAACGCCAAAAGGAATAGAAGAACAGGATACAAATTCACAAATATGCAATCTGCATATAATACGAATTCAAAAGTGGGAAAATTACAGGGCACAAATTTGATCATGAAAATTACTCTCCCTTTACAGTAAATCTAAAAAAAAAATTGGGGGAATTTGGAAAATTTGGAAAGAGCGGCTTCCATAAGGTGGAAAACCGCTCCTCGTGAACGAAGCTTCCTGTGTGTACCAGAAGGGAATCAAATGGTGGTTCTTTCAGAGTGAATTAAGAGAGATGAGAGAGAAACCTATTGAGAATATATATATATTGTGTAATGTATGTATATGCGACGGTTGGTGATCCAAGAATGTTGGAATTTCTTGCGATCTGATTGGGTGATGAACCCATGGAAAATGAATTGAATGGTTAACTGCCAGTTTTTTCATGTAGGTTTAGTGTGGTAATTACAATTTTTGTCCCTATACTTTATTACTATAATGATTGATTTTAGTCCCCAAATTGCCCAACCTGTAAAACTAGTCCTAGCGAAATGAGTTTTTTAGTCCCGTAAGTTTGCTAGTTGGGAGTTTTAGTCCTTCATATTTTAAACTCGGAATTTTAGTCCTGTAAGTTTCAAAAGTTGAGAACTTTGGTCCTATGACCTGCTATAACAGTTCGACAATGGTTGGTGAATGAGTTGGCATTTAATTATATAAAAAAATATAGATTAAAAACAATCTAGATGATGTGGGCCATGTGGCTGGTGAGTTGGACGATTTTGGAGGAAAATAAAATATACCATCAAATTATTATTTTATTTGAGAATGAAATAAACATTTTTGTAGTAATTATTTTTTTAATTAATATTTCGTAGTTTTCGAAAAATAGTAAAACTATATTTTATTACTCGTTACGTGTATTTCTTACTTTTAAGATATTTTATGTTTGGAGGCTCTAGAATGTTTTTTTGGTACATTTAATTTAATAGAATTTTGAATATATTTATTATTATATTTGTTAATTCGTAAATGTGTTTTTGGTTTTTTATACTAATTATGACTATGTATATATCATTTAACTTTACAACAAGTTTTAATATAAGGTTTTTTTCTCGTATTTTTGTTGAATTTGATTGTTGGTTCAATTTCATTGTGATCACTAAGTATAGATTTGTAGTGAAATGTTCAAATAAATATGAATGTAATTACTATCTTTACCAAATAAAAACTAAGAAATATTAATTAAACATTAGTTATGCTTATTTTCTTCATAAAAAATATAATGGTATATTTTAATCAATTTGAGGTTTTTTATTGTAAAAATATAATAAAAACAAATATATAAATATTTCATATTATTTTGATGTCTTTGACATGGAGGATCAAACTTCTCTCCAAAACTATTCAACTCATTAACCACATCACTTAATTTATTTTTAATCTATTTATTTGTATAAATTAAATGACAACTCATTCAACAATCATCATATTACTTGCTATAGCAGGTCACATGACCAAAATTCCCAATTTTTATAACTTACGGGACTAAAATTCTAATTTTGAAACATAGTGGACTAAAACTCCTAACTAGCAAACTTACGGGACTAAAAAACTCATTTTGCCAATTAGTCCCTAATTTCACTACTTTTAGATTTTTTTTGGTTCGACCGTCAAGCCTAGGGGTGGTAAACGAGCCGAGCCGACTCGTGAGCTCGACGAGTCGGCTCGTAAAAAGCTCGAACTCGGACTCGAGGTTTTCGAGCTCGAGCTCGAGCTCGCGAGCTCGAGCTTTCTGACGAGCCGAGCTCGAGCCGGATTTTAGTTGTTCATCGGCTCGCGAGCCGGCTCGCGAGCCGGATTTATTATTTTTTTTTTATTTTTTTTTATTTTTTTTATTTTTTATATGTTATTTTTATTTAAATAATGTATAATAATATAAAATATTATAGAAATAAATACAAATATTAAAAAATATATAATCACAATTTAGTTTTTATTATTGTATTTTTTTAAAATAATTTTTAATATTAAAATAATAATTAAAAAATATTTAAAAAAAAAAAAAGGAGAATTGGGCTCGAGCTCGAGCTCGACAAAATTAACACGAGCTCGAGCTCGAGCCAAAAAAAAGAAGAACTCGACGAGCTCGAGCTCGAGCCAGCCAAAAGAGGCGAGCTCGGCTCGAGCTCGGCTCGTTCACACCCCTAGTCAAGCCTACAGGTTAAATTGGACGGAATTGCCATGTGCGGCGCAAATGACGTCCATTTGGTTGTTAGATGTCGAGTTGGAGTATACCCACCATGTACTTGGCAGATGTAATATCAGGTGGAGTGACACATCATTCTCCCCTCCCATATTTCTATTCGAAAATCCCTAATTCCCCAAACTTTCAGTAAACTTGTAAATCCTGCCCCTAAATTCCCTTTACGAATCCTCCAATTGAGGTGAAATTTCGGCAATGGCTGAATCATCGAACCCTAGTTTTTGCAAGTCTTCGAACGTTTGTGGAGTTGAAACATCAGAATCGCACAACAATCTTCGATTTTGGTAAATTTTGTCAAAGTTATAATCTTTGCAGTTTACACATCGATTTTGGTAATTTGTCTAGATATAGCTTTGATTTCACCTGAAGTTGTGTGATGTAGCATAAAATACGAGTATAAGACCTAATTATAGCTACCAGGCTCATCTTCAACAAGCTCTGAAGCTCATTCAACCCCACCAGCCACTTGTAAATGTGGATTCTAGTTGCCAGTGATTACATTATGGATATCAGGCAATCCAGAGAGAAGATACCATGTATGTCCAATTATGGGAGTAAACTGTTGTCGACAAAGCTGATTTGATGGGCTAATATAATGTCAGCTTTCAAAGGCTGAAATCAAGCACTTTTGCTATTAGAAATAAAAGTTTATGTGTACTCATTTTCACTAAAATTTAAAGGCGGCGACTATATACAATCACAATATTACTTAGGGGAAGACCAAATCTAATTTTTCACCAAATGAATTACTAAAAGCTATTATACCCTTACTAAAATACAAAATCCACAATTACAAAATTCCACAACTTCCTTTGTGCAAGACTACACAAGCAAAACCCATTTCATTTTCCTCATAAACCCATTTCACACAAATTCTTCAAAAAAAACAAAAATTCTTCATCTTCTCCAAAAATCCTCAACACACAAAACTATCAAATCTTACTAAAACATGCAAATGATAACATTATGGAGTCACGAGACATCAATATCGAGAATTCTATAGAAAAAATAGAAAACAAACTGTGAATGAATGTATTTTTATAGTTAGGTGATTGATTTTTAAGTTTTCAAAACGAAAATTCGCACAATCAAAATTCGACATTGACATGTCGAATTTTTACAAAATTTGACATTTAGATGTTGATTTTTAGCAAAATATCGACATCAACACTAGATGTCGATTTTTGTGACAAAAATCGGCATCTACATGTCGAATTTTGTGACAAAATTCGGCATTTACATGTCAATTTTTCGCCAAAAAATCAATATCTAGATTTTTGCCAAAAATCGACATTTAAATGTCGATTTTTCACCAAAAAATCAACATGTACGGGTTGAATTTTCTTCTTCTTCTTCTTCTTCTTCTTCTTCCTCCACCTCCTCCACCTCTTCTTCTTCATGCTCTTCTTCTTCTCCTCCTCCTCTTTCTCCTCCTTCCTCTTTCCTCCTTCCTCCATATTCTTCTTCTTTTCCTTTTCAAGCACCCGCGGTTGGGCGGCGGCAATTCTTCTGCGGTGGATGGCCGGCGAAAGTTCTTCGGCAGCGGATGGACGGCGAAAATTCTTCTCGTCTTGTGTTCTTCTCTTCTCCCCCTGCATTCCTCTCTCTCGTTTTTTAATTTCTCCTTTATTTTTATTTTATTTTCTTTTCTATTTTCTTTTTTTTTTCTTTTTGGTTTTGCAATAGTAATTATGTCTAATTTGAATGAATAGTATCAAAATCAATATTGGGGTTATATTTGTAATTTCAGTCTTGCTCTTAGTAAATTTATTTATATTTTGGTCTTGCATCAAATAAGATCTTGCACTTAGTAATTTTAGTCTTGCATATATTCGTGGCCAAATTTAAATTACCATTCAACATATTTAGAAACCAAAACCTATTTTCGTTTGTCTAACTTTTAACTATTGCATATGTAATTGGATAGTTATTGTTATTTGGATCTAATTCAACTGCACTCAATAACTGATTCCCATACTCACCCTTCAGAAAACAACCATCAACCCCAACTGTTTGGCCTACAACCATTTCTAAACCCAATTTTACATGCATAAAAGCATACGAATATGTTCTCACCTGTCAATTGTATTCTCACAGTAAAACCTGTATTAGTTCTCTCTAATTTCTTACAATAATTCCATATCTTGTTGAATATTGCTCTAAAGTTCCCTCAATTAATTTCAATATTTTTATTCTTTCCCCATAAGCTTGTGATTTAGTCGCATTAGCTTTAAAACTGGTACAAATTTCATTCATAAATTCAGTTGTACCTAACTCTGGATTTTCTTTCATTTATTTCACGAAAGTCTTTACAATCCAACCTGATTTAATACTTGTGTTGTTGTAATTCCAAGAGCATTTACTATTTATTCACTGCATTTTGGCCAAATAAAGCTTGTCATACCGAAATGAAACGAAACAGAAACCTAAGATTTCTTTTTTAATTGTAAAGACTGTCGTGAAATATTAGGAGCTCGTGATTTTCGTAACCGCCTTGGTCCTTTCCGGAACGGCGTGCTTCCCCAACTCAATCAAAACATGAATTAAGCTACATACAAAAATAGGCTAAACAAACAATGAGAGGGAAAAGAAAAAAAAAAAGAAAAAAAAAAAAGAAAATTTGAAATAGATTAAGCAAATGGTTGTTGATTTACAGAACAATCATTTTGGTTCAATCTCAAGAAGAACCTGCTTAAAAATAAATGCAGGATTTCTATATAAATTTATATATATAAATATGTTTGTCACACACACTTGTGCAAAAGAATGATAACTCAACTCAATCATATTGTACATGTGCTGGAGTTGTAGTAGTAGTATTTTCAGCCAACCATCTTCTTACACGTGTAATCAAATATAACCTGGAAAACACTCCTCGAATCAGCTTCATCGGACTGCCTTAGCAGATGAGCCACCCTCGAAAAACCAATGTGTTGTCTGACCACAGATTCTTCCTTAATCTGCGTCTTTCTTTCCTCGTTTTTCGGGACCTTTTTCTGCGTTAGTGCCCATTGCATCGCCCATATCGCTAGTGGACGCATGTAAGCAAGCGATCGATAACGACCTTCGAAATCCCAACCCTCTGGTGTCTGAAAGGAGTATCTGTGAAACAAGATATTTTATCTTGGCTGTTAAATATTCGGAAAATGCAAATAATACGAAAAAGAAGCGATAAAGAAAAGAACGTACCCGTGACCTTCTTCAGACCAAGCTACTTCACTGACACCAACGGCGGTTTTAAATGCCGTTTCAACCATATTTTCATGAATCATGCCTGCAGCAACTGCATATGTAATCCCACTCCATATTTCCCTCGACTGCATCGAACACAGATCAGGTTCGCCACTTGGCAGCATCCCATTGGCTGCCCCCATTCTCCCGTTCTTTACCTTCAACACATTGAAGTTGTAAACCTTTTCAAGCGCTTTTCGTGCTTTATCTTCATCTACAATCGGTGAAAGACCACAAGCTCGAGCATACCTACAAATTTTTATTTTTATTTTCATTTAATACGTGAAACGTCAAATATCAAAGAAGTTTTCTATCTTCCTCCAGTACATGCTAATAGAAACACACCAATATAGTTCGTTTTTCGAAGTATGAAAATTAAATCAAGAAACGTGTGCATAAGATGTTGACAGCATATAAAATCAAGAAATGTACGCTCTACTAAAAGTAAAGACGTGTTATTAGACCATAAGGCCAGTTTGCCAGGATTTGTGTTTCTTTTTCACCTCAAGTAATGGCGGAATAGGGGTTTATTGCATTTAGCACCCCTGTGTTCACTCTAATTGTCAATAAACTCCCCTTATTATAAATATTAGCAAAATCTCCCATATGGTTCAGTTATATCAGCAAACTACCCCTAAAAAGCATCATTTAGGGGGGTTGTGTGGTTTTTTTGCTAATATGTATAACATGAGAAGTTTCTTAGCAATTCAGTATAACAAAGGCATACCAAACGCACTAAACTCGGCGCAATAGGTTAAACGAATAAATTTCTACTCATAGAACTAAAAAAAGAAATCTACTTTCGATAACAACGTACCATTGTCCAGCCAATTGATCAGCCTGAATAGACGAGCTCGTACTACTCCCACTATCATCATAATCAAAATATTCTCCATTCCACAACTTCTCATAAACCTTCTTCGCTTTCTCAAACCTAAACCAAAAATACTCCTCCGAACCCTTATCACCAACAACACCAGCAAGAGCCGAAGAAGCCTGCAAAGCCGCCACCCACAGCCCGCCACAGTAAGCACTCACCCCCGATACAGACCAAGTATCGTACGTCTGATCAGGAAACCCCTCGTTTTCAATCATGCCATCTCCATCTTTATCAAACTGCTCCATATACGCCATTGCAATGTATACAGACGGCCACACAGCTCGAGCAAACTCTTCATCGCCAGTCGCAACAAAATCTCGATAAACTTGCAGCACGAATTTCGGGTTCAAATCTTTCCATCTGTCAGTATTGTGGAGGCTGTAGAAATTCACCTCGAACCACGGGTCCCGCATTCCGATATCGTGCGGGACCGCCCCGAGGACTTTCCTCTGTACGGAAGTTCCGTCTTGTAAGAGATTCATCTTGCTGGGGTCGTGCATCATTACAGCAGCGGCGAAGTCTCTCTGTATGCTGAGCTCGATTTTGGGGAAGAGCATCGTTAGGGCGAAGGATGCATAGAAGTGGACGTCGTACGTGTTGCACATGTGGTACTCGATTCCCTCGAGGTACAGGAACTGCCCCACGTTTTCTTCTCCTTTCTGGAGCAGGTTTGTACCAAGGGCTGACGACATCGATACTGGAGTGTGGATCTCGTTGAGTAGTGACGTCATTCTGTCGAGGATGTTGATTGCTGTGTCGTTTTGGTCGGAGGGTGTGGGGGTGGCGGCGGCGGTGGTAAAAGTGGAATTTGACCGGTCGAGGGAGAATCTTCTTTTGCCGATAGTACGTAAACCATGCAATGGTGGAGATCCATCTGAAAAAAAATATATAATAATAAAATATAAATTAAATTAGATCAGCTTAACTCTATAAATCTTTGAACATAGATTCCATTTATCGAATACCTGTCCAAATTGTCCCCCCTGCATTAAGATAGTAAAGCTCGTTGAAAAGAGTTGATGGATACCTGCAGTAGACCAAGAAAAAATGTTAGGTTTATTGCATGGCATATTTACTCTAATTGCTAAAAGAAACTCCCCATTTTATTTTAATTAGCAAAAGCCCCTACAATTTAATTATTCTAGCAAACTACCCCGAAAAACTCACCGTTTAGGTGGGCTCTGTGCTAAAAAAAAATCACCGTAGGGGGGATTTTTGCTAATAAAAATAACACGGGGAGTTTTTTAGCAACTTAAAATAACAGATTTAGAAATCCAAAATAACATGGATTCTTTTTACAAGTCACTCAAAATATGTTTAACCCTTCAAATCTTGCTGCAAGTTCAATATAATAAAAGAAATACTTACCATTCAGGAAGACTCTTGTCCTCGAGAATAGGTCTTTGCCATGCTTCTATTTCTGACTCCCATTGGTGATGCTCTTTATTTTTTGTTAATAAAAACGAAAAAGATATAAAAGAAAAAGGGAAATTAATCTGAAGTTTTTTCAAAAATGTTTACAATAATACAATTTAACATGATATATTGAGAGATTACCAACAATAGCATCATGAGCAATCTGGGATGCCACGTTACTTTGAGTCCCGTAGAATTTTGTGTAACGCCTGATTAAACAATTTAACTCACTAATCCAATGTGCGGAGAAAAAAAGGAAAATATATTGATGAAGTGTACACGAAATAAAGGAATGGAATGGTAACTAGCCTGAGATAAGTTCTTCCACCCTGAAAGTTGATTTCGGGGCAAGCCCATGACAAAGAAAACGTAACAGTTTGTACAGTTTGTGGTGGAATAGTGAGAGAAGCTGCAATGGCTGCCCCAATGAGTGAACCAGGTTCTGAAGGCAACGACATTTCTTCGGAATTTAGGTGGTCAAACGATCCCCGCTGATTACAACAGAAAAGGGTTATTCTGTCAAGAATGATGGATCTCCTTATAGTTATAGATCCATAATTCATGAAGAAACTAATTCATAAATTCGAAGTTCAAATTATTCTTGCAAGATAAGTTAACAACCATAAAATCCACAATTTGATTTAAAAAAAAGACAGTGGCAGCTGCCTTTTTAGTTTCAACTAAGAAATCGACAGACTCTTTTTCCACAATTCTTACAACTCTTGATAAGAATGAAATGCCTCGAAATTTTCAAAACAGTAACAAAAGTTACAGAAGCCAATACTCAAATAATTATCGTTTCTTTATTCTTTCTTATACTCAAATAATTAACATAAGTCACCTGCAAAGTAAATTTAGATTGAAGTGACAACGGATAAACGTACCTCTTTAATTTCATGCCACATGTCTCTAGCTGTGATACCTTTTGAGTTTCCAGATATCACAAAACCAGGGCACTGAGAGACATGAACTACATCCGTTTCTTCTGCTGCAATTGCAAAAGCTACCGAAGGCTTTCCGTTTGCAGTCCTATATCAGTTTACAAGGACTCAAAAAGAACATCCACGGAAGAAGCTATACATATATATATATATATATATATATATATATATATATATATATATATATATACTGAATCATTTCGCATTTATGACAAGCCAGGCACTTACATATGGTGCAAGAGAACTCCACTAGTGTTCTCCGTCCTGTAAGAACATATCAGATTAACAAGTCATTAGAAACTACTAACACATACCTAATATAACTGAAAATAAGTATTGCATATTTTTACCTAAATTTCGAATTGAAATGGTGACCGGAGAGTCCCGAATCCCCACCAACAGAATTCTAGCAGCATTACAAGGACTGTAAGAAACGTATTTCGAAAATCCATAAAAAAAAATTAACAAAGGAAAAACTTACAGCCCAACTAAATAGCAAGGTCGCATCCGCTTCCGTCTTTCCCAAATTCGACAACTGATATTAAAAATATCAGAATTATTATTTGCCAATTAAATTATTATGGAATACAATTCTTTTCATTTTTTCTCTGTTTAAAAATGAATTTTCGTGTTTGTAGCTCGATCGTGATTTGGATTGAGATCCAATCCAACAATTCATTACAACTATTGATTGCAATTATTTTATTTTTTTTCCTTCGCCTTCATTCATCAAATAGGATCTACTACTCGTATTTGCTATTTCCTTGTACTGGTTCTAGGAAGTCAAAACACATCCTCAAATCACACAGCAGAGGCTTAAAATGGAGTTCGGATAAGTTTTTCATACCGTAAAAGTAAATACAGCCACAGGGTAGCTGCTTTCCTTGTAGTTGTTGGGGATAACGGGAGAAAGTTGACGACACACTATTTTTAGAGCTGGATCGGGTTCACCTTCATTCAATAGAAAATGTGATTTTGTGAGATTAAAAAAAAAAAAAACATGATCGTGGGAAATAAAGAACCAAGAAAATGTTATAAGATTACATAATAATTACCATCGTAAACGGTCCAGGCCCTCGGATACAATGCATGGTAAGTAGAGTTTTGGCCACCCAAATTCCAGTCCCATGATCCTATCCCAGAAACTGAGCTGTCACTGTTTATCCACATTATTTAGAAGCGCCGAATACCGATTTTCAAAACTAAGTTTACACGGAGAATTGAATGTACAATGTGCTTACCTCAAAATTTCTGGGCTCTTTGGGCATAGGACACTAGAAAACTTTTCACCATTCGGTCGAGAAACAAATACCTGGAAAAAAAAAATAGTAACGGGCTAAGAAATACATCACCATCGACAAACTAATATATGCCAGAGCAGAGTGCTATAATCAAATAACATATTATACATGAGGTAAAATATGCATTAGATCACAATGCGATGGGTCTTGTATTAAATTTCATTTAGCATAATACAAACCTCTAAAACTTACAGAAAATTGGTTTGCCAAGACTGGTACATCTTCACAGATCCTAGGAAATAGTTGCCAACGCATGAATTCACCTTTGCAACTTCTTCCAATGCTTCCGGCACTGAAAATCAACATCAGAATATAAAAACTATTTGGGATAAATTTAAGGTATTTATGCCTAACCCGATTGAAAATTATTTCAGCCATCTTTTAATTCATGGAAGACGGATAATTAAAAATTCTAATGGGTCTTAACAGAGACACAAGAACAGACTAGTCATAAACAGCCTATTATTGAAACGAGTTATTCTCTCGTAGGAGTTTGTTAGAATGTATCATTGAATGGAAAATAATGCTAATATTTGTTTGGACAATTGCTAAGTAAATATAAAGTGTTCGAACAAAAAGAAACGAGAGAGTTAAGGTAGGTATTATACCCTATTCCACCAATAGGAACCCCATGGCAAGATGACGTATGGCGCTTCGTGAAAGGATCAACAAATACATCCTGCATGAACAAAGTAAATCACATTCTTTGAAACTGATACCAACCTATTCGGTTTTCATTTTCCATAGTGGAGGAAAAAAAATAATTACGCTGCTTGCGGATTTATTTTTCTCCTCTCGAAGATGTCGCCACAGTCTATAACCTATAGGGGCCTGCAGAGATCAAAACCGAGATATTACAGGAGATAGATATAGTGGAACATTAAGCATGGATAATAGTTGACAAAAGTTCAAAAGAATACCATACTGATGATCTCTTTTATACTTAAACTGAATGAAGAGAGAGCACTCTCCTCGGTAGTAAGTTTTCTTTTCCAAGTCAGAGATGGTGGTGTCCCAGGATCAACTTTGACCTGGAAAAAATACGATGGATGTATAAGAAACTAAGATACTATTTAAAATAAAAAAATCGATTTGAAATAAATTACAGGTTATGTCAGCAAACATGACAATCTATGTCTTGAAAATCCCAAAAGAGTAAGTAAGACAGTCCACTAAAGCAAAAATCAAATGCAGATATTCTAGATAATGGAGTGCCACGATAAATTTCTTGTGGAAAAAATAAATATTATTCAGTTCAAAGGAGGATGGTTGTATCCAATACCGAAATCAAACAAAGAGGTCGATGAAATAGTTTCAATGCAACGTCGATCATGGTAAAGATGATGACAAGTGAAAATTCAGTTACAGGGTATTTCTGAAAGAGTGAAATATATCCTGCGTACAATCAAGAATGGAATAAATAACGAGTCGATCACTCCAACAGATAAACATAAAATATTCAATACAAAGCGAATACTACAGTTATTTGTTATGTACTTGGACGGTGTTACTACAAAGTGAATAATCATGAAAGCAACCAGATAGAAAGTTATCATCAACATAACGAAGGAGACACAAACTCGCACTAAGTTCCAGACGAACCTTGTCACCGTGCAAAGCCGGCTCCCCTTCTCCTCCATCAAAACCAGTCTCCGACATATTGCCTGCAAGTAAGGGCAGAAACAGACGGTTGAGTTTGAAACTAAATCAATATTAATTAACTAATCATGACAAGTTACCATTACACACACACACATATGTGTGTGCCCAAAAATATACTTAATCATCCTTATAGAAATGCTGAAGGCTTTAACTAAATCCCATATACCAGAACAGCAAAACAGTATCCCATATATATATATATATATATATATATATATATATATATATATATATATATATATATATATATATATATATATATATATATATATATATATATATTCAAAATTGTATAAACCCTTAAGTTAAAAAAAAAAAAAAAAAAAAAAAAAAAAACAGAATTTTGAAGGAGATAATAATAATAAATAAATAAATAAATAAGCAAATTGAGCACACAAAAAAAAAATCAAAATCAAACAAATCACCCATTGCAGAATTCAACTGAAAAAAAAATCGTTCACTCTAAAACAAAGGTTATTGATCATCAATGTGATCAGTGGAACTGATCGGAAAACTAACCGCCGGAGTAAAATTGCAGATGCTAATTTGCCGGAGATGGCAATCGGAGATTGGTGGGAGTTTGCGTATTTGTTTGGTTGTATTGGATTGGAGGTTTTAGAGGAGGAGGAATCAAACAACCATTGCAAGTCAACTTTTTCGCTCTGTTTTTGTGGGGAGGGGCCGAATTGAAAACCTCTACGCTGGATATTTTGCATTTTAGTCCCTTTACTTCTGATTTTATTACTTTTTCCACGATCCTTCAATTATTCTTTTTTCATTCTTAATTGGGTGGATAAGAACGTAATATATATATATTTAAGTTTTATTTTGTTTAAATTGGTTGGGCAAAGTTTTTAAAATGCTTCTAAATGTTTGAAAAATAAAATATTATAATATTTGGATGAAAAGGTTGTCTTTAAAAATTAAAGGGACCCCAATTATTTCAATTATAAAATTATTATTTCTTTTTTTATAAAGTAAAGAGATCCCACTTATTTTTTTTTTTTTTTAAAAAAAAAAGGTCATTGAGCTATTAATTAGATGTTGGTAATAGATTATTTATAAGTAAAATTGTTAAAACTAAATAATTTTGAGATGAAGTTATATTTTAAAGATAAGTACAATCTGAAAGAAAGTTGTATTTAGATGTTATAAGTTCTTTTAAAGGAAAATAATCAAGTATGTTTAAAGCTTACAAGTTCTTTTATGTATGTGTTAATTACGTATGATTAGAGATGGAAAAAATCCAATGCATTTCACCACCTCCATGGTTATTTATAGCTTTACTTTTCTTGGCATTATTAAGCTATACAGTAGAATCATAATAAATTAATATTCAAAAAATTAATAACACTGCTTAAAAACTAAAAAAATAAAAAAAAAATTGGTCCCGATTCGAGAACAATATGCTAAAGTAATAATTCGCTAATTAAATCTATAAATAATGAATATTTAGAAATTCTAATAGAGCCCATCTGATATATAAAATAATAATTCGTGCAAATAACTCTTCAAATAATACATCGTACAATATATTTATGCCAAGTTTATAAAGATATAGCAAAATATATTTTAATTTTCTTTTGTTTCTTGTTGAAGTTGGAACACACTAAACTCATTCCTCACTTTCGATTTTGTTTTGTCACAAATCAACTAGTAATAATTATAATTTCATAAGGTATTAACAAGTTTTTTTTTTTTTTTTTTTTTTTTGAGCAAGTATTAATAAGTTATCAATAAATGTATAAATCAATAATTACTAATTTATCCATAACTTGAAATTCCGCAAATTAATGAAATTTTATTGGTACAAATTGTATCGAGATTTAATTGTAACATTGAATACCAACCCTCATTAGGAGAGTTGGTACCTAACCTTTATTAATAGAGTAAAGGTCTAGGGTTCGAGTCCCCCCCTCCCCTACTCCTCCTTGTAATGGACTTGAATTTACTCAAAAAAAAAAAAAAAAAAAATTGTAACATTGAATGAATGATTTATAAAATTTGTTCTATCTTATAGTCTCACCTCTTAACCATGTTAATTCCCATTATGCCCTTTGCTATTCTCGTAAATAGTTGCACCATGATCAGAAATAAAGTGTGGTCCTTGAGATTTTCAATTTCAATTAGTAAAATCCTCATTTCGTACATTTAAAATATGGAAATTAAAATCCTAAAAATTCCCTATAACAATTTGCATTCAAGTAATAAATAGTTAAATTATGGGTTAAATACAAAAACACCCCTGTACTATGGACTTTGTATCATTTACTCCCCTGTACTATACATAAATACAAAAACCCCCATGTTATTATATTTTTTTCAAAATCTGACGAAAATACCCCTACTAAACCTATAAATATAAGGGTTTGTTTGAGCCATTTTACACAATATTTTTTAACATTTTCGGCCAATTTTACTTGGAAATTTTTATTTTTTTTATTTTTTCCTTCAAAACATTTAATTACTTAGATTTTTTTTTTAAATTTCTGAATAAAAATCTTTTTATTTTTGTCATTTTCAATTTCTTCATTTTTTTAAATGTCTTTCGGTAGTTCAAATTCTCAACAATAATAGGATTGTAAAGATGTTTGTAATCTTAGGATGTTTGAACTACCGGAAGACATTTAAATAACAAAAATAAAGAAACTCAAAATGACAAAAATAAAAGGTTTTATTTAGAAAATAAAAAAAAAATGTAAGCAATTAGATGTTTTGGAGAAAAAAATATAAATACCAAAATTTTCAACGTAAAATTGACTGAAAATGGTAAAATATATAGTGGGAAATGACTCAAACTATATATATATATATATATATATATATATATATATATATATATATATATATATATATATATATATATATATATATATATATATATATATATATATATGGGTATTTTCGTCATATTTTGGAAAAAATACTATATGAGGGGGGTTTTGTATTTATGTATAGCACAGGGAGGTAAATGACACAAAGTCCATAGCACGGGGGTGTTTTTGTATTTCACCCTTAAATTATTTATCACGCAAAAGACTTGTTCACTCCAATAATACACCCTCTCATGTTTGGCGCCCACATGTTTCAAAAGACAAACAAAAATGCACACTCATACAAAATATCTATAAAAAAAATAAAATATATAACGAACACATAACACACACCTCACAGTGCTGCCCAGGCAAGAAGAATTGAAAACACGGGAAAAGTATATATATATATATATATATATATATAGTCCTCTCGAGACAAGACATATTTTGACAAACATCAATGGCTCTCTCAAGAATTTTTTCACACCGAACAGAACCCGTACGCAACATCTAGAACTCACCGATAATTTATCTCTACACAAAAGCTTCTCTCGAGGGAAAACAATTTTGTTTATACCGTCACTGATAAGTGCCCAATAAGTGGGGCGAAATAATCCGAGCCATCAAAAAGGCAAGAACTCTACATCTGGCATTGTTCAAAGAGACAAAATAGCACAGCATAGAAATACAGTGCTCTTATTTACCGGCAGTATCATTTAACTACTTCCATTTGAGAAAAAAAAATTCGAGGTTGGTAACAATGACAAAATATATCTCCAACTACCAGAAAATTTTAATTACCCTCTTCGTAAAAATATATCTTCAAGCAGTAGCCTCCTTCAGATACGCAATTAGATCTGCACGCTCCTTAGGTTTCTTCAATCCAGGGAAGACCATCTTGGTTCCAGGAATATACTGCAAAAACATCGACAAGTTGCCCATTTTAAGAAATCTCGACATTTATTACCAGCAACGAGTGCCGTACGATAATTACAAACATTCCAGAAAGAAAACTCAAGTAAGCAGATCATAACACTGAAAAGAACCCAAAATAATACTATATATATTACGCACACTTGTATATTTACTTGCATATATGACACACGTGTATCCTACGTCAACAAGATTAATACAGATTCCAAGACGAAGGTCCATCACAAGTGATTCTTCTTCAGAAAGTCCAATTGGATAAGGCATACGAACAAGTTCCAAACATTACATAAGACAGAAATCTTAGATAAAGGGGAGCACAAATGACCCTCTAGCTACCACAACCGAGCATCGAATGATATGATACGAGCACATGCAAAACAAGTAAATGGATTTCATAAGATATCAAGTTTATTTAAATGAACTTTAACCCAATTGGATTTCAAATTGACTGTGTGACGATACCAGACATCAAGCTTAAAAACGGCAGTGCACATACTTTGCTGACAAAACAAACTAGAAAACAAATTCAACAGAACCATAGGAAATTGAGATCGATATAAGAATACAATATCCGTCACAAAAACCTCGAAGCAATACGTTCAACATGTTAAAATAATATATGTTGTTCACACATTACCATTGTTTCAGTTAATAACGAAATTTCACACACACACACACACACACACACACACACACACACACGCACGCACGCACGCACACGCACACACACACTAGTACCTTCTTAGGGTTAAGCAAGTAGTCGTAAAGTGTATTCTCTCCCCAGTTGACAGCCATGCTCTTGTTGGCAGCCGAGTACGAATAACCCGGGGTAGTACCAGATTGTCTTCCGAAAAGACCATTCAAGTTGGGACCTGAAATTAACAAGACATGAGAAAATTCTTACATGTTCGGATAGTGCTCAATACAAGGAAAAAATGGTGGAACAAAATTACGAATCACCTAAATAATTACATAGTTTCAAATAGAGAAAATAAAACACCACCAAATCAAATAAACACATCAATATACAATAGCCTAATGCCAAGAACAATTTTTTATTTTTATTTTTTATTATCACATCTAAAAACAGAGGCAAACTTAGATCTCAGACAAACATACAATTTACGGAAAAATCAAGCCAAGTCAATATCAGAATACCAATTCGATGAAAGGAAAAAATAAAATTTGTCGGTGATTCCAAAGCCGAAATCAAAGTGAATAAACGATAAAAAACGATCACGAGATCCACGCACACAAATTCCTCATGCGAAATGCAGCGAATATATCAAATTTAAATACCAATACATCGGCAAGAGAAGATCAATAAAATAAAAATAACTACAATTCCGATTGAACAATGAATAAGAAAGGAGGGGGGGAGAAGGAAAACCTTGTTTGTGGCCGGCGCCTTTGTCGACGGTGTGGCACTGAGCGCACTTAGTCCTGAAGATCTTGTCGCCGGATTTGACATCGCCGGGAGGAGCTTCATCGAACGAGGCCATCGACCCGATTCACTGTGGAATTTTGGATTTGGGGCACAAGGGTTTTCACGATGGAGGAGCGTATGAAATGAATGGGAATAATAATAATTGAATATTGAGAAAATAAAAAGGAGAGAAGAAGAAGAAGAAGCATCTAGAAGGGTCGTGGGATGGAGTCTACAAGAACAAGTGAAAGTACGATTCTACCCCTGTCGCTGGTCAATGGGTGGAAGATCCACATTGGTTGGGTTTATTGTTTTTCGAATTAATTAAAAGTTTAATTAATACCAAAATATATACTATGATAATGCTATAATAATAAGTTTAAGAAAATTATGATTAAACTAGAAATTATTCATGATTTATAAGGATTAAAGAAGCATAATAAATCTAAATAATTTATATATTAGTAATTTTGGTTGTGAGGTGAGGTCATTTGGGTGTCACATTTAATAGTTATTATAAGTTGTAACTTGCGAAATAACTCTTATAAATGAATTTTAGGGCTCTTACTGATTTTTTGTAATAAAGTTTTTTTTATTATTTATTTTTATTGTCCTTTACTCGTATACAATAACTTCGAGAGATGCAGGGCAATGTTTTTAATGGTTTTGGGAGTTAATTTCATTTTATTTGGGGGAATATATTTTGAGAGAATAATTTGTATATAATTTGAGATTAAACAAAATACATTGTAGCAGTTAAACTATATTTAAAGTTGTTTGAAAAAATACAACTATATTTAAAGTTGTTTGAAAAAATGCACCAATCATTCGAGAGGAGGCAGGACACATCAAGGTGGGTAGTTTATTCGGAGGTACGCCAGGAATAATAGGCTGATGACGCTGAATAAAGAAGTCGTTTGGAGAAGAGAGAAACTTTTGAAATTGTTTTATAATTTTATTATAAAAAACAACAAACACGAATCCATTTCTAAGACGAAAACAGAACCCACATTAAGTTTCTCTTCTATAATATTCGAACTAGTCTAGATTATGAACCCTACCAGTAACTTCTTTAAATTGGAAATTGCATTTGACGACACACAAATACCAGCAAAACTTAATATACAAATCTCACAATCACAAATTACCTAAAAATCCTTCCAATAACAACCAATTACAGAGATACAGATCAAGAGTGAGCCACCACAATAAAAACAAGGTGGATATAATCAACAAAACAAAACAAAACCAAAAATTAGCAAATCATTATACAAACACTTCTGTTTTTCGCCACAAAATGCCTTGCCTTTTCAATGCTGACTAGGATTAAAAAGGCTGAGTTCCACAAACGAACCAGACAAATTTCTCCCGAGATCGCTCCGATTAGAAATTAACGAAACAGTGTCGTTATCGTACTCATCAACGGTCACCCTCCTAGCTTCTACATCTCTTTGCAGATTCCTCAAAGATAAAGAATCTGCAATAGGAAGGTACACGAGCATGCAAATACCCACCCCGGTGCAACACAAAAGGGAAAGAAAAGCCAAGAATGATATGCTGTCAAATGCAAGTCCTTGTTGGTCGGTTAGGACCGACAAACCAAGCAGAAGAACCCTCAACGGTAAAAAACAAGAAACGCAAAAGATCAATCTGTACACCCTCTTCTGCAAACCCTTATTTATTACCAGGTGAAGAATTCGCCCACCGAGACAGAACAAGTAAGCGGTTAGTACGGTAGCGAAAATGCCAAGGAAGATGGTGCTCAATAAAGGATAACTGCAAAAGGCAATAATACCATCGCTCGTCTTTGAAGAAGAGATGAAATAAGAAGGTAGTTTCGGATTATGCTCCTTATACTTGGGTCCGATTAAAATAACCACAAGCTGAACGAACGAGCACTGGGAAGCAATAGAGAAGAACGAAGCCGATTGTTTTCACATTCCACTTCCGACTTAACGTACCGGATCTCTGCAGAGAAGCACGGAGAAGAAAAACGAGGGTGAGAAACATGCATGGCTCTGCGAATCCCAGGTTTGAAATGATGTAGCATTTGCAGATATTTTCCTGCCATTGCAAAGTGAGTGTATCCAAGAATCTGCCTTTGCATCTCAATAGATTCAGACGGATAATTTCACCGACACCCCACCATACGGCCAAGAAGATGTATGTGATTCTGATAATCAAAGGACCGCTGAAATAACTGTACTGAACAAGACCGTGCCCGCGGACCCTACTTCGGAAGTAAAATGAATATATAATACAAAACAAACCCAAAAGGAATAAGCCCGAAACGAGACAAATCGTCACCACACCAAGTGCATCACTGATAAATCCTGTCACACGCATTACCCAAAGCACAGGTTCCACTCATGCTCTTGGCCAGCATGGACACACAAGAAAAAATACTCTATCGAGTACCGTGATAGATTCCTCAGAAACAGCAACCATGCAACAAATTGCTCGACTTTTTAATGTCCTTATGAACTCAGATTTAAATCCACTTGTGAACAATAAGTATTTACTAGAAGTAATCTTTTATGAATGAGAACCAGCCTGCATCATCCAAAGAGGAAAATCGGTTGTCAAAGCAACTTCAAAAGAACAAGTCAAAAGTTATATATTACAACAGTAAATGTGAGCAATAATATTATATAGCATATGCATATGTCCTATGGTCATAAAAGTGTGTTTTCGTGACAAGAAATAGTGTCAAAGGTGAAATCGCTAAAATTCAAGTCGACAAGAAGAATGACAAACGACCAACATTTCTTTGATATAATGAATAAAAAGTTAATTTGCCATAAGCAAAGATAATTTTTTTTTTTAATAGAACTCGACAAAACTTGGAATGCGTAGTTTCATGATTATAAGATATCCATCGCAACATAAATCCTCGCAATCTAATCCTTTCCTACCAAACACATTAAATCTGACTTTTGACGATATCTTTGATGTGATTTTACTCAGTAGGCCACATGCACACACCACGTGGCAGAACAACTTAGTAGAAAATGAAAAGTGTCGCAAACAACATATTAGTAGTGCACGATAATTCACACAACTCTTCGTAGTTACTCTTTCCAGCAAACTGTTATGTGCAACATGTACGAACACCACAAGCAAGCGAATTTTTGTCGGGCAAATGAACAATCTTATTAGTCTAGACTAAAAACCCTATCAGTAACATGCAAAAAGTAATATGCAATTGACTATACATCTCACAATGACGAATGACTTACTTAAAACCTTCCAAGAGAATTTACACGACAAACGGTCCGATGATCAATCGGTGACCACACAACAAAATCTGATCTATTTCCTAGTATTTGCCCGGCTACATTCAGTGTTGTTTTTTGAAATTTGGTAGAAGTATCGACTCCTAAATTCGAAGTACTTTTCATAAATACAGCGGTGACCTATACAAAAACAACTAAAAATTGTAAAATAGTTAGTCATCTATTCTCGATTTCCCTCAAATTCACTGTCTAATGCATTTATGCTGTGTACACTGGTGCAAATACATCAACCTCCACCAAGTATTCCACATACGAGCACGCAATTTCATGAATCATGAATAATTAATCAGCAAAATCCAAAATTGAAAATGAAAAAATTCTAGCCTAATGAACAACTTCACAAACTCAATCGAAAACCTCCTAATCTGTAACATGCACGACAATTTCACAAAATAGGACAACAAATAAAAAAAATGTGATAGCGTAAATTGAAAGAAAAACACGCACAAGAGCGCTGAAAAAACAAAACAAGTTGACAAAAATCCAAGCTTTCATACCAAAATGCATAACTTCAAAACATCAGCTCCAATTCAATGCCAACAAACGAAAAATTAAAAACTCCAAAAGTAAGAAGGGTAGAGAGAGAGAGAGAGAGAGAGAGAGAGAGAGAGAGAGAGAGAGAGAGAGAGAGAGAGAGCTTACGACTTGCGAATTAGCGATCCGTCGAGGTATGAAGATAAATTTAAAAATCGGAGATAAATGCAAGAGAGAAAACCCTAGCCGGAGAGAAACCAAAACTCAAGCCAAAAGGAGAAAAAAAAGAAAACCGGAAGAATTTCTAGTGAGAGAAAGAGAGAGAGAAGAAAACAATGTAAGGTAGAGGGAAGTAGTCTTCAGAGAGTGTGTTTGTGGGACTTCTTTGCTGACAGCCTGTCGCCAGCCAATAAATCCAAATATCAGGATAAAAGTTTTATTTATTATTTAATAAATAAAAATAAAAAATATTATAACAAAAATTCAGCTTAATCTGTAATTTCGCTTTTTCCTTTTTTTTTTTTTCTTTTTTTTTTTTTTTTTTTTTCTTTTTTAACCTAGTTGTGTGATTGTGTCTATAATTTCTTGTGTGGGGTATATTACGTAATTAGTGGGGAGTTTGAGGGGTTTTTTTTTTAAATATTCCAGACAGGGGGCTTATACTGTTATACATACTGGCATGTGATGTGCACGAAGCGAGAGGCTCGGGTATGTCCGAGCCTAGCTGGCGTTTGGCTCGTGACGGGTTTTGCGGTGAATGTCTTCCTGGCTGAAGGTCTGGTATCCACGTATTTACGCACGATCGTGTGCCACTTGTTTATTAAAAAATAAAATTAAAATATTGCCTTCGTACATTTTTTGAGTAAATTCTAATTCATGTATTTTTTTTTTAAATTGCATGTTACACATACTTTTTTTGAAGTCTAATTTCGTCCGATGCTTTAAATCATCTCAGCATTGACTAATTAATTAATTAATTAATTAGATGAAAATTAAAAAAATAAAAGAAACATTGACTAATTATTAGATGAAAATAAAAAAAAAAATTCCTTTATAACTATGGTGTTTGCAAATGATTATTTAAAAGCAGAAGTTAGTGATTGTGATTTAGAGCCCGTTTGGCTAAGCTTATTTAAAACATCTTATAAGCTCCTACATCTGATAAGATGTTTTCGGAGCTGATAAGCTGTTAGATCTTATTTTAAAAATTATTTTTTAAGGTGTTTGGATATGTAGCTTATAAGTTACTTTTTGTTTTTATAAGTTGTTCAGGTGTTTGGAAATAAAAGGTCTGTTTATTGCTATAATGACAAAAAAGTACATGACGCCAGTATAATTCTTAAACTTATTTGACTCAAATACTTTTGTTCCTAAAATATTATTATAATATTTACAAATTATTTTTTCAAATAATAATAATAATATAAAATTATATAATAATATAAAATAAAAGTTGTAAAAGAAATATAATTTTTTTTTAGATGAAAGAAATATAATTTATTATGGAGATAATAAGAATATTCGTGTATTTTTATATACATATAAAATATAAATAAAGAATAATTTTTTTTACAATTATTATGATAATTACGATAATTATATTTAACTAATTATTAATCTTGATTACAAAAGAATACGTTGTTTTGATAAAATATAAATATTATTAGTATTCATGTAATATAATAAAGTATTTGAGGGTAATTTTGTATTTTAAGTGTTTTAGTAAAGAAGCAAATAAGATCTTAAAGAAAAAAGGTGGGGTAGAGGTACTTTTTTAAAAACATCTTATAAGCTCCCTAACAGCTTATTTTTGGAAACAATAAGATCTTTTGCAATTTTTTTACCAAACACCTTTTAACAACTTATAAGCTCCTAAACATCTTATAAGATGTTTTTAGGAGCTTATAAGCTTAGCCAAACAGGCTCTTAAGTTAGTTTTAAGTGCTTATTTTTAAAAGTTGGGAGTGTTTGCAAATATTAAAGAAAATGAACTTAAATAGAAAAAGTAGGGTTAGGGGTGCTTTTAAAAAAATAGCCTAAAGTAGATTATTTTAAGAGAAACAAAAGCAAAAGTTGATTTTGCAAACACCTGAAAATAGATTATGAGCAAAAAAAACCGCATAATCACTTTCAGAAAACATTTGCAAACACCACCTACATATGAATAGTTTGATGACACGTAGCTTTTGTTTGGACTAGAATATCTTATATATAAAAGAAAGAAACGTTGGGCAACCCTAAAAAACCTTAATGGTATTTCTGTAAATTATTTATTTTTAATATTTCTTCTCTACTAATTTCTAACTATAATTTTTAATAATTATCAAAATTAAAACTAACTTGTGAAGAATACTACATTATTGTGACTTATGTAATTATTTATTTTTAATATTTTTTCTGTAATAATTTTTTAACTATAATTTTCAACAATTATTGATCTCCTAATTTTCATCAATATATCTCAAATCTTAAGAGATAAAGCTAGAAATTCAATATGAACAATACTACATTATTAAATTTTACTATATTAGTTTACTATATTTTCTTATTATGTATTAAATTGATCTTTTTTTCACTATTTAAATAATATCCCGTGCATCGCACGGGGGAAAAATGCTAGTTATAAAAATATTCCTTACTTTTTTTTCATTTTTTTTGGAGAATTGAATTTAAACTCATAGGCATTACTTTTATTTTCATCAAACTATTTTTTTAATGAAAAGCATAAATATTGTAATATAATTTTGCTCTATTAATGTATATTAAATACTAATAAATTAAATTTTATTATTTTACATACAAAACAGCAAAAATACAAAAAAATAGAAAAATTGAATTTCCTATGTTATAAATAATATTTTTATTTTTTAAAGGGAACTAGTAATAGAAAATTATTAAAAAAATAACCAATGAAGCAATTTCCTTTCCCCTCTTTCTCAAAGCAAAAATCCAATTTAAAAAATAAAATAAAATGTCCAATTTACCCTTTTATAAAAAGAGGGGCAAATTGCACATCACCCCCTAAAAAATTCTAATTTTCGCACTTTACCCCCTCAAATTTTAAAAGGTGAATGTCCTCCTACAAACGTTATGCTTGTTGCATATTGCACCGATAGCAAATTTTGGATGAATCATTCATCGGAATTGAGGATTTTTGTTGCACGTTGCCCCGTTATATGTTATTTTTGTTGCACGTTACACCTTAAAAATATTATCCTTTTGCATATTGTCCCTTTCAGATGTTGTTTTTGTTGCACAATGCCCACAAAAAATTGGCATCTGGGGCAAAGTCCAACCAAAATAATATTTTGAAGGGGAATTATCCAGTTTTTGAATTTCTAGGGGGGGAAATATGAAAATGAGAAATTTGTAGGGGTTGAAGTGCAATTTGTCCTAAAAAGAGAGAAGAATAAAGAGATTGAGAAGAGGATTCAAATCAAACACTCGAAATGAATTATGCGAGTAACCAAACACCACCTCTTTCTTTCATTTCCCCGCCATCTCATTCCAAGGCTTCACTTCTCAACCTCCGCAGAATCGCCGCCGCCGCCGCCGCCGCTGCTCACCAAGAAAGCATGCATCGACCTGTTGAAGAGCTGCAAATCGGTACATTCTCTCAAGCAAATCCAAGCCCACCTCTTCACCCATGGGCTCCACCAAAACATCGACGTTCTGCACAAGCTCATGGTCTTCGCTGCAGGCGCAAACTTAGCCCACGCCGAGAAAATATTCGCTCGGATTGATCGCCCGACTTTGTTCATCTACAATGTGATGATCAAGGCTCATGCGATTTCCGTTTCCGGTAATTGCAGCAGAGCCCTCTCCCTGTTTGATGAAATGCGCGTGAGGGGTTTGTGCCCCGATAATTACACGTACCCTTTTGTGTTTAAGGCCGTCAGCCGGTTGAGGGTGGTTCTTGAAGGGGAAAAGATTCACGGGTTTGCGTTGAAAAGTGGGGTTTTGTGTGATTGTTATGTTTGCAATTCGGTTCTTGATATGTATGGGGCGTTGGGCTGTGTGGAGAGCTTGTCTAAAGTGTTCGACGAAATGCCCGAAAGAGAATCGATTTCGTGGACCCTCCTGATTTCCGGGTTTTTGAAGAGTAAGAGGTTTGAAGATGCTATTGGTGTTTATCGGAGGATGAGACGAGAGGCAAATGTGCAACCCGATGAGGCTACAGTTGTCAGCACTTTATCGGCTTGTACAGCGTTAAAGAGTTTGGATCTCGGCCGTGAAATTCACGAGTACGTGAATATGCAGTTGGGGTTTACAGTGATCATCGGAAATGCTCTGCTGGATATGTATGCCAAGTGTGGGTGCTTAGATATTGCTAGGGGAATATTCGATGCTATGCAAGAAAAGAACGTTATTTGTTGGACTAGTATGGTATCGGCGTACGTTCGATCCGGTCTTTTGGATGAGGCTAGGGCATTGTTTGAGAGAAGTCCCGCGAGAGATCTTGTTCTATGGACAACCATGATTAATGGATACGTACAGTTCAACAAAGTTGACGAGGCGTTGACCTTGTTTAGGTACATGCAAATGGATGGAGTTAAGCCAGACAAGTATACTCTCGTTTCCTTACTCACTGGATGCGCCCAATTGGGAGCACTCGAGCAAGGCGAATGGATCCACTCTTACTTGGAGGAAAACGGAATACCCGTCGATGCTGTGGTCGGTACTGCACTTATAGAGATGTACGCAAAATGTGGTTGCGTAGATAAATCATTGCGTATTTTTAACCAATTGAAGTATAAAGATACAGCATCATGGACTTCAATAATATGCGGCTCTCGCTATGAACGGAAATACATCCACGGCTCTGCAATTGTTTCCGAAATGACACGAGCCGGGATAAAACCAGACGATATCACCTTTATCGGCGTTTTAAGTGCTTGTAGTCACGGAGGGCTAGTAGAGGAAGGGCGTAGGCATTTCAATTCCATGGCTGAGTTTTATCGAATCGAGCCGAAGCTGGAGCATTATGGTTGTCTGATAGACCTTCTTGGTCGAGCCGGACTTTTGGATGAAGCCGAGGATGTAATAAATAAGGTTACGGATAAGGATAACGAGATTATTGTCCCACTTTACGGTGCTTTGCTGAGTGCATGCAGGAACTATGAAAATATCGGTATGGGTGAGCGTATTGCGAAACGGCTTTTGGAGATCGAGGCAAGCGATTCGAGCGGTCGTACGCTTTTGGCTAATATTTATGCAGCTGCGAACAGATGGGAAGATGTAAGAAAAGTTAGAAGGAAAATGACTATGTTCGGGACTAAGAAGTCGCCTGGGTGCAGTTTGCTTGAAATTGATAATGTCGGCTAATTCGTGGTCCGGATATCAACTCTGGTTGCAAGTAAGCGTTTAGTTTTAATTATGTTAGAGAGCATTCGGTCTCGTTTGTTAGATTACCTGTGTTGAATGAAGTGACTATTGGAATTTCTTGTGTTCGGTTTTTCTTGGACTCGGTTTTTTACAGAATGCGGCATAAGTATATAAAATATTTCATGAATCATATTTTCGTGTTATTATATATCTAAACATATATGATTTTTTTCACGGGGTTCGGGGCTACGTCCCTAAAATTTTTAGGAGTATTTATGTAAAACTACATAAAGCAAAGTATTTTCCACGCCCAACTTGGGCGAGTTTGTGAGGTTCGGGAGTTTTAGAGAGAGAAAGCAATATAATTTTGGATGAACGGTATTCGAAAAATTAGACCCGTAAAAATCATTTCAGTTTAATATATGGATACATTTATCGAATAAAATCCCAGATTACAGCAGCACGAAGTACGATATTGTGATAGAGGAAATGTTATTTCGAAAAGGAATTACGGTACTTGATTGATGGTCGGGTACACAAGAGACGCAGGCGGGGACCATCGGACCCGATAAGATGTGATAAAATACTCGATAAGTATTTATTAAATCCAAGATTGGAAATTAGCTTATTTCGAAATAAAACGATGAAAAACTCAAACAAGTCATCATTTTTTTGATGAGTTAAGTCGATGTTGGGCGAGTTAATGTTGTTTAGAAAAAGAAACGTTTTCTATTTTGATTCGTCGAAAATTTCGAAGAATTTCTGATCTATTTTAACGACTTTTAGCCGATAAAAATGTAAGTGTATTTTCGTACAAAACGAACAAACAAGAGACCTTTATCGAAACTAAAAACAAATTGTTGTCCTTACTACTAAATTTCCCCTAATAAACACATGTTCAAATTAAGAGCATTAAGAATTTGCTTTTATTCAAAACTAGCATTTTTTTCCCCGTGCGATGCACGGGATATTATTTCAAATGTGAAAAAAATAATCAATTTTATACATAATAAGAAAATATCGTATACTAACATAGTAAAATTTAATAATGTAGTATTATTCATATTTTATAACATTGGTTTTTTTAAATCTGACATATTAAGATTTATAATCCAAATATATAGATTAAGATTTAAAAATCGTATTTCTATTTTTATCTCTTAAGATTTGAGATATATTGATGAAAAATCGGAGATTGATGATTGTTAAAAATTATAGTTATAAATTAGGTTAGAAAAAATATTAAAAATAAATAATTACAAAAATATCATTAGGAATTTTTTGAGTTGCACATCGTTTCTTTCTTTTATATATAAGATTAGCAATATTTCCAAAATATTCTCTTTTTATTTTTAATTAGTTTATTTTTATAATGAATGAACCTCAAATACAAGTGCAGTAATTAAACATTAACTCATGTGCAATAGCTTGCAAACCATACGAAAGATGTAAATTACACTATTCATAACTCATTTATGACAAACTCAACTTAGAAAACGCAAAAAGCCAAAAACAGAATTTTCCTCTTGTTTCTATCGAGTTGGGACTCTAAAATTGGAAGTTCCCAATATGTTTATACAGTGCATATATATACATATAGATAAATATGCTTTTATTTATTTAAAATTCAAATTTTGTTGAAAAAAAAATCCAAAATTCAAAATCGTAGAGTTTGAACTCAATTAGTCACTAATTTCTAATTGCATTTTATCATCATACTACAAAAACATCTAATTGTTAAAAAAAAAACATCTATACAGATTCAATTCTATTTGAAAATACATCAAAAATTTGTATCATAATTAAAGAGTGATATTAATACCTATATTGTTTTTATAAGTATTTGGGCTCAAATATATTTTCTAATCAAAAGAATTAAACAAACATACAATTATTCAAAAATAAAAATTTTAAATCATTTTTTTCCCTATGTGGAGTTGGGATATGTTTTAAATAAGGTTAAATTATTGTAAACTTAAATTATAGGGTAAATGGCAAATAGGTCAATGACAAGGGCACTTAATTAAAAGAGGGACATCTAACTTTTTTGTCTTTCAAATAAATCCAGCAAATTCAAACTTATTTGCAAATAAGGAAAATCCTTTTATATATATACCAAAATTACCCCCAATTTATTGAAACCCTATTCAACTCCAATTTCATGATTTACACCCCAATTTAGTACAATTTCATCAATTAACCAATTTTAACCTAATTTCAATTTTGATCCCAATTTTGACCCGCCACCACCGGAGACCGCCGGTCGCCGCCGTTGACTTTTTTTTTTTTGAAAAACTTTTTTTTTTCCTGAAATTTTTTTCCGGCCGGTCAACTGCCGTTGACCGCCGGGTCTCCAGCGTTGACTTTTTTTTATAATTTTTTTTTTATAATATTTTTTTTCTTAAAAAAAATAATTTTAATTAATATTACTGTCTTGGCTGCTAAATTATTGTCTCCGGCAGTTATTTAATTGTCGGAGACAGTAATTTAACTGTTAATTGATTTATTTTTTATTCAATAATATTTTAATTAATATTACTGTATTCGTTGCTAAATATCAGAAGACATCTGCCTGGACTGGGCGGTTGCTTGTAAGGTTTGAAGCCTTGCTTGATCGGTAACTGGTGCTCGACCAGATTCCTATCAAGGCCAGGCATTTATGAATACTCCCAAGTAAAGCATTGTGAGCAAAAATGACTGCTATTGCAATCTAATCCGAGTATCCAAAAGAAACAATAGCACAAACCGAGTACGGTAAGAAATATTAGGAATGAATAGAGAAACCTGCGTACGACTTTGTTTTACTGCTCGAGGTGGTGATAGCTTTTATATATTGACTTAATTAGTTGCTTGCATAGTGCTCTTCCTATTCTGCTTTTGTCTCAGCATATCTTTCATCAGCAGAGGCTGTCGGAGACAGTAATTTAACTGTTAATTGACTTTTTAAAAAAAAATATTTTTAATTAATATTACTGTATTCGTTGCTAAATTACGGTCTCCAGCAGTTATTTAACTGTCGGAGACAGTAATTTAACTGTTAATTGACTTTTTTATTCTTAAAAAAATATTTTTAATTAATATTACTGTATTCGTTGCTAAATTACTATCTCCAGCATTTACTTAACTGTCGGAGACAGTAATTTAACTGTTAATTGGCTTTTTATTTTTTTTTTTAATTTTTTTTCTTAAAAAAGTTATTTTAATTAATATTACTGCCTTGGCTGCTAAATTACTGTCTCCAACAGTAATTTAACTGTCTTAGACAATAATATTAATAATATTACTGTTCGGGAAAATAATATTCATAATATTATTGTCCCAAACAGTAATATTACTGTCTGAGACAGTAATTTAGTAGTCAAGACAGTAAAATAATTAAAATATTTTTTTCTAAGAAAAAAAATTCAAAAAAAAAATAAAAAAAAAAATAACGCTGGAGACCGGCGGTCAATGGTGGTTGACCCGTCCGGAAAAAATTCAGGAAAAAAAAAGTTTTCAAAAAAAAAAAAAAAAGTCAACGTCGGAGACCGGCGGTCAATGCCGGAATCTGGCCGGAAAAAAACATTTCAGAAAAAAATTATTTTCTGAAAAAAAAAAAAATTGGGGGTTAATGTGATATATTTATTTAAATCCAGGGTCAATGTGTAATATTAAAGAAGTTAGAGCATAATGGGTGGAATTGATAAGAATTATATTATAGAGGGTATTTTAGATTGAAGACATGGGAATGAGTTTAATTGAGAGACTGTTTTTTTTTTTTTAGCAAAATGCATTTAAGTCCCATGTGATGGGCCTTTTTGCCATTCGCCCTAAATTATAATAACGATGTTATCATTCATCACACGTCATATTCGAACAAATATGTAAATTACGTTTTCTTGAGGACTAACGTGAAAATTCATTATAATCGAGGGGCAGAATAGCAATTAGTCATTAAGTATATATCTTCGCCCTTTCCATTTTCCCAACAGAAAGAGAAGAAAACCTTTTTTCGGTTCTTCACGAGCGAAAGATCATCAAACAGAAAGGAGAAAATGAGCACCGAATAGTAAGAAAATAAATCCCAGTTTTTTTCATTAATTTTTTTAATTAATATTTTCAGATTATCTAATCTTATTGTTTATTAATTAATTAATTAATTTTTTGTAGCGATTATTTGTTCAAGCTTCTTTTAATCGGCGATTCCTCTGTCGGCAAATCTTGTCTTCTTCTCAGATTCGCTGTATGTTGATTCTTAAATCGCATTTATTTATTTAATTAATTATTTATTTATTTAATTAATGCAATGGGCTTAGTGTAATTATTTATTTATTTATCGAATGGGTTTTCTTTGATCCTCAATTTCATTTATGGAAGTAATGTTAATTGATTGATGATTCTAGGATGATTCGTATGTGGACAGTTACATTAGCACAATCGGAGTTGATTTCGTAAGTTTTGTCGGAAACATTTCGTGTTTAATCTGTCGATTGTTGTCGGTTATGTTTTGTTCTTTTTTTATTGTGTTTATGGGATGATTTTTTTTGTTTTTTTTTTTTTTTTTTTTGCAGAAAATAAGGACGGTTGAATTAGATGGGAAGACAATCAAGCTGCAAATCGTAAGTTACGAATAATTCAGTTATCGAGTGCTTCACTATGTATAAATGCATTGCAGAGAATTATGCAATACCGACGAGTGTGTAGTATTGTAGTGTTTTTCGATTGATTGTGTTTTGATTTTTGTTTGTTTTGGGGTATTCGCGGGTACGATTCGTTAGTAATTTGATTAAATTGAAATGTTTTCATTTGTTGTTTTTCAACGAGTTTGAAGAAAGCTACGTTGCACGATGATTAAAGAGTTTTTATTATCTTAAATTTGCTTTAGCCAAAGTCGCATACGTTAGTTGATTAAATTGACGGATCACTAGTGTTGATGGTTGTCGCCGAGGAGTAAACGTAAAGAAAATTCTTGCAAATTTGATTATACTCTCTTAAAAAATGCGTGGTGTTTCCTATTTTTTTTTTATGATTGAGGAAACTATTGACTCTCGTACTATGACGGGAATAGGTAGAAATACAAATTATGCCATTTTTAATAATGCAATAGGGAATTATTAATTACGTAAGCCATGCAATTTCGATACCTTAAGCAAGATTAGGAGTTATTAGAGTTAACTTATTGTTGTTGTTTTATGTGTTTCAAGTGGGATACTGCGGGCCAGGAGCGGTTTCGGACTATCACTAGCAGTTACTACCGAGGAGCTCACGGAATCATTGTAAGAAAGATCTTGCTTTAGTTATTACCGTATTGCTATAATTTTTTGTTGCAAAGATTACATGTATGCATACCAATCTATTGGTTCGGAGAAGTTTTAGGGAATAATTCTCTGTCATTTTCCTTTTCGTCGGAGCCGTTACGCGTTTATTTTGAATTAGTACATGCTGATTAATGTACACGGTACCAGAAATGTTGTAGTGTAAATTTAACTTATTTACTAAGGCCTCGTTTGGTTGGGGAGATTAGCCACGATTAACTAAAATAATTGGACTTTAATTGATGTTTGGTATCCCCAATAACTTGTCGGGTCGACCCGCAAATATTATGTTATCATGGTTTATCTTACCTTCTAGGCATGTTTTTTATTGAATCATCGAAGATCCAATAATATAATTGGGTCTCGTTAGATTATCTAATCTTATCTGGCTAATCTTATCTTGGCAACCAAACGAGGCCTAAGCCTGTGCATTTCTCTTGGTTTATACCTTTTCTTTGGCCATTATCTCAAATCAGTTGCTTAGTTGCTCTACTTATGTTAGGTATTTTAACCCACCAAATTCATCTAGCATGCTTATGCTTCTCGTTTTTTTTAGCAATTAGCAATACAAGGAATTCCAAGAATCATGATCGAAGAGCCTTTTATTTCATTAAAATATTCCTTTTCACTGATATCACTTGATCGCAATTTACACTTTAATTGAGTGTTCTCACACATCGAAATTGTAATAGATTGTGTACGATGTTACCGAGATGGAGAGCTTCAACAATGTTAAGCAATGGCTTAATGAGATTGATAGGTACGCCAATAACAATGTTTGCAAGCTTTTGGTGGGGAACAAATGCGATTTAGTCGAGAGCAGAGTTGTCGACACACAAATGGGAAAGGTGAATAACTATTTCGCCCAGCAATTCATATTAGAATTCAATGTGATACTAAATCATTCTTTTTTGTTAATTTATCAATTTTTTGCATTCTGTATCAAATATGCAGGCATTAGCCGATGAGCTTGGGATTCCTTTTTTGGAGACGAGTGCGAAAGATGCTATTAATGTCGAGCAGGCTTTCTTGACTATGACTGGCGAGATTAAGAAAAAGTAACGTCACTTATCGACTTATCGTTACTTGCTTACGGCTATACTATTCTTTATTATGTTTCCGAAAATCTTAATTTTGTTAATCATTTTATTATTTGATGATATATCTAAACGAGTGTTGAATGCAGGATGGGAAACCAGCCAACGGCAAACAAGCCAGGCAGCACGGTCCAGATCAAGGGACAACCGATTGAGCAGAATAGCAACTGTTGTGGTTAATTGTCTGTGTGTGTGTGTGTGTGTGTGCGCGCGCGCGCGTGTTTAATTTAGAAGATTGTAAAAAGAGTAGCAAATGTTTACTACTTTGGATTTATTTGTTTGTAAACACTAAAAAAATGTTGCTAACTGTGTTCTTGAGAATGTGAAAAGACTATTTGTTAAGATTTATACCATCTTTTTTAAGACCGCTTGTTAAGGAAAATATGACAAAGGAAGTTGGAGAGTGATGAATCGATTTTTGTTTAAGTTGATTGAAACATCGAAGATTTTGACTTTTCAAAATACTATTTATATATTCAAACCATTTGAAAAATTTGATTCGAAGTTTTCGGAAAAAAACAGAAATCAAAATAGTAAAAAAAAAACAAAACTGAAGAATTTCGAAAAATTCCATACCAATTTCCACTTGGCTACACATAATGAATAATCAATATACTCAAATGAATAACATTCGATAACAAACCCTCAGCAAGTCTAAGAATGAAGAAACTCCAAAATGTCGAAAAGTACGAGAAGAGAATAAATACAAGCAATTCAAAACAATCAATATCCAAGACAAAAAGGAAGCCAAAAAAAGATAAGTAGGCGGTCGAGGGGCAATTTGGTAATTATGAAAAAAGAAAAAAAAAGGGAGAGAAATTCAGCAATTAAGACGTAGAGCAGCACGTCTTCTTTGCAATGGTATCTTGCGAAGAACCAACATCAAGTGTCTTCCCTTCTTTGACACTCGAAAGTGAAGGCTCGTCCGAAGAGAGAGACTTCTTACTAATAATCCGATATATTTCTGAAAGTGCGGACTGAAAAGCCTTCTCCACATTAGTTGCTTCCAAAGCAGAGGTTTCGATGAACGAGAGCCCCTCTCTTTCGGCAAAGCCTTGCGCATCTTCTGTTGCAACAGCTCTAAGATGCTCGAGATCGGTTTTATTGCCTATGAGCATAATAACAATGTTGGCATCTGCGTGGTCTCTCAGCTCTTTCAACCAACGAGTCACGTTGTCGAATGTAGTTGGTTTTGTGACGTCGTATACGAGAAGAGCTCCAAGGGCACCACGGTAATATGCGCTCGTTATTGCCCTGTATCTCTCTTGTCCAGCTGTGTCCCATATCTGAGCCTTCACAGTTCTCCCATCAACCTACAAGCTCGGGAAAAAAAAAATTATATAATTTTTTTTCTTTTTTCGAACATTAAACCAAAACAAGTCATGCAAAAATATCACTAAATAAAATAAAACTAAAGATCCAGAGATACTTAGGACTAAACGAGAGTTCATCACGGTTCTGTTATGGGCTATAGAGATACTTGCCCGAAATTTTGTATGCATTCTTACAACAAAATTAAAGGCTCGTAATCTTTATATTTGCACGAGAACCAAGTTTATGTGTGTTAAGTAGCATTGTGCTTTGCACGATACTCAATTATCCTTTCTTTCTTCTTTCATTTCCTTTCATGTTTCCTAAACCTAATGCTTCTATGAAGCAAAAAGAGATGCATTTGGCTCTAAATAAAACAAAACCTCATAATCCGACTTGTAGAATCCAAGTCCCCAAGATATGAGGCAGACTCAGTCCCTTGTCACAAAGAGACACGTTCACAGAAACGAGAAAGCTTCATTTGTTTTGGACATAGCTAATTTGATTAAGGAATAGGCTCTCATATTCATTGTTACCGGGGGTGAAAGTCGGATGGATCGGATCGGAATTAGCTATTTCGGAAAATTTCCAAAACTTTTCGGAAGTACAAAATCAATTCAACGATTCCAATTTCAAAATTTTCGGAATTTAACAATTTATTCCAATTCCCAAATTTCGGAATATCGGAATTTTTTTTCTGAAATCACACAAGTTTTAAAATTTCAAAACTTAGTGGAAATATTCTGAAAATTTCATAATTTTCCAAAAATAAGAACATCCACGTCGATGAAAGTAAAACTAATAACTAGTAAATTTTAAGTTCAAAAAAAATAATAATAATAAAAAAACCACATCATAATATCCAATAAAACTTCTAAGTTCTAACAGCAATTTAATATGTCAAAATCCTAAAATAAAACTCAAATCAAATTACTATATCAGAAACCAAAAAAGAAAACTTAAAATTACTATTATATAAGATATATAATTTATAGGTATTTTTTGGAAAAAAATCGGAATTTTTCGGGATTAATTTTAGCAATTAAATCGGATCAGAAATTCCATTTTTTTTTATTTTTTATTTTTTTTATACAATTCCAATCCAAAAAAATCGGAAGTTGGAGTGAAAAGAATTATTCCAAAATCGGAACTTTTCGGATCGGCAGAACTGGCGGAAATTGGAATTGCTATTCCAACCTGCACCCCTAATTGTTACTATTACTATTTTATCCTCATTCTTAATTGAAGGTTAAAAAAACAATCAGAAGAGAGCATCAACGAAGAAAAACGTAAACAAGCTCTTACGAGTTTGATTAATTACAAGAACTTGGAAATGCATATTCCCACATTTCTCAGATACGGCACAAAAACAATATCGGAGTTGCATCAGACGATTTAAATCTCAATAAACTAACACGATTATCCAGATTCAAACCGAGTAAATTTTAAATTTAAATTTATTGAAATATAACTGCATAATCACACACACTCATTCTGACATTGACAGATCTAGAGATCTAAATTACCACCACATAAATTATTCAAAAAACAATCATAAAATCAAAATTCACCGACTTTCTAACCCTAATCACAAAACAAATACTAATCAGATGACACGTGGCTCGAAGAACTCGCTGAATATCAAATTATCAATCACCATTTTCACCCTTTCATTTTGTTAACACACAATTTTGAATCAATTTAATACTAAGAATAGAAGGCGATTGAAGCGCGTGTAGAAGAAAACCTGAAGAGTGCGCGTGGCGAACTCGACGCCGATGGTGGATTTGGATTCCAAGCAGAACTCGTTCCGAGTGAATCGGGAAAGCAGGTTCGATTTTCCGACGCCGGAATCGCCGATTAACACTACCTTGAAGAGGTAATCGTACTCCTCGTCGGGCCTCCGAGCCATTAAATCACTGAGTTTAACTCGGAATCTTTTGCAACTGCGGAATCGGTTTCCTTCACTTTTCTAATTTTTCTTTTTCTTTTCTTTTCTCTTTCTTTCGGCAGACATGCCCATGGGGAAATGAGTTGTACTTAAATGCTTTAATGTTGTAAATATGTTCAATGACTGAAATACCCCTCGAGATTTTCATGGAAATTTTGACGAGATTTTGGAAAGGGAAATCTAGTAATATTTCCATTATTTTAGGAACTTTTAAATTTTGAAATTTCAAGTGGGACTAACTATTTGACTGAGTAACGGCCTAAATTTGCTGCAACAACAAAAAAAAAAAAAAAAAAAAAAACCAATTTTTCCCTTAAGGTAAGGGCAAAAATGTCAAGGACTAAGTTAAAATCAACTTATTTAATTGAGCGTAAATTACGAGAAACTTCGTGAGGTAAGATGTAATTATGAAAATCTCTCTTATGTTTGAGTTATTACGAAAATACTTCTGAGGTATGTTGCACGTCTTACACAGTCCCCATGTAGGGATGGCAATGGGTACGGGTTTGGCGGGTCTTGGACCCGGAACCGACCCGTTTGGGGTGGGTCTGGGTCAGCTAAATGGTTATGGGTCGGGTAATGGGTTTAAGTTTCTAGAACCGGATGATTCTGAGGCGGGTTACGGGTTTTATTGGAACCGACCCAGAACCGACCCGCATATATATATATATATATATATATATATATATATATATATATATATATATATATAAATTTCGGATTTCATTTATCAAACTATTAATTTTCATCTTGTCTATTCTCATTTACCTATTTTCACTGTTTTATTTTTCGACTCTCATTTCTCGTGAGTAATATTTATCACTTGTTGACCACCGCTAATTGTGTTGCATTTTGAATTTTACTTATTATTGAAGTTAAATATAATTACTTGTAATTTTATTGTCCATGTTATATAACTTGTAGAGATTTTTTAAAATATTGTATTTTAGCATTGAGATTATTTCGTAAAAATATACAAGCAAAATGTTTTGAAAGTTAAAAAATATTAAACTTTTTGTATGTTAATGGGTCTAGCGGGTCTGGCGGGTCAGAACCGTTTAGTTAGGGTTTGGGTTGGGGCGGATCTGGGTCTAAGCTAAAACGGGTTGGGGCGGGTCTTGGGTTTATATATTTTTCGTGGGTCGGATCTTGGGTTTAGGCAAACCCGGCCCAGAACCGACCCGTTGCCATCCCTATCCCCATGCGGTATTACATTTAATAGACTCTTTTTTATTTTGTGAAATATTCTTCTAAAAATGTAATTTTTGCCCTTTAACTATGCTACATGTAAGCAATTAATTACTTAGGGGATAACTTGTAGTATATTTAAAAGACATAGTTAATTTTAATTTTAAAACTAAATATATATGAAAAAAAATCAGGAGGTTTTCATAATATTGTATATATGAGAGGATTTTCGTAATTAGATATAACCTCAGGGGTTCTCGTAATTTATCTTTTTTTTTTCTTTCCAAATAACAGAGGGGTAAAACGGACAAAATACATTTTATGTGAATTTAAACAGTCAAACATTGGTCATAGGAGAATTTCGATAATTATACAAACATGAAGGGGATTTTCGTAATTAGTCTTTCCCTCAGGAGATTTCTCGTAATTTGCCCTTTAACTTATGCGCGTATAATTTTGCGACCATGCGCAATACATAAAAATAAATGAGATCACAAATTGTTGTGATTACACACTTCCATTACAGGCAGAACTTGATTTCATGGACTAACCAAACTCAAATAATTTCTTAATGAAATCTTCACAATCACAATAATCGGCAAAAATAATACACAAATTCTTTTAATTACACAAAAATTATTTGAGTTTGGTTCGTCGATAAAATAAACCAAAACTTGAATGCAAAATTTGTTCGAAGTTTCACACTTGTTTCTAGTCCAACTCGATTAAGAAAAAAAATAATTAAATATGTATGAGAAGTTGGTTCCTCGAGCTCGAAATGTATCTCACTTAGTTAAAACTCAATCAAATTCATTAATGTCCGAAATTTAATAAACATTTTTTTTATTCAATCAAATTTGAAAATTTATGCACTCAGCTCGACTCGATTTCATAAAACAAGTGATATATAGCAATTCACAAGTTCGTTGAAGGCTATTACGTTTACTAATCTCCAACCTTAGGGAACTTCATTAATTTTTCCACTTTGATGTACAATTTTTTTTAATACAATTGTAGATTAAATTAAATATAAAACCACTTTTAGAATTACTATAGAGTTTTAGAATATGCACCAAATTCCTAATTTGCATAACAAAGTAGTAGAATATATGTGATGAATTCAAGAACATTAATGTATAATTCTACTTAATTGATTCAAGGTTTAGTAGTATCGCAGTTTCTTTTATAGTGGTGTTTGGTGAGATTATAGGTTCAGATTATTTTGTATGCGTGTGTTGAAGGTCAACCTTTTTGTCGATTAATAAAGTTTTTGGAGTATAATGGTAAGTATTATGTCTGTCAACGAGTAACCCGAGTTTGTCCCCTTTAATGAAGATTTTTATCTTTGTTATAGACATTTTTCTCGTAAAAGGCAGTTTAGTTGGTGGAGCAAGAGATGCAGTGTCAAATGTACAACATTTTTAAGGTTACGTTTTTTGTCGAACTCGCACAAGCGCGAAATGTTTACCCCATAATAAATTATTTAAATGCCACAAATTGAAGTTTTCCTTGATGAGAGTATTGTCAAACCTTACTCCATCAACTATGCCATCCTTGTAGGCGTGGTTTCCTCCAGGAAATTAGATGTTACACCTGATTATTTACATTGGGTGGATTTGAACCGGCACATACACATGGATGTGTGTGATTATGTGTAGATCTACGGTTCAAATTCACCATATATAAATAATCAGGTGTAGCATCTAATTTCCTGTTACCTCTTTATACATAATTTTTTTTGATGAATTCTTTATACATAATTTGACTTAGAAAGGGAAATGCAATCTTTCAAAAACAAGAAAATAACAACTTTCTTTTCCAATATAAAAGGAAAACAAAAAAATCAAGAAGTTCACAATAATACAAAGCAGGGTACAGAAAGACTAATAAACCCAGGGCATCCATATGTAAGACAGCCCGTTACCCGTATATACTCACTCCTACTTAGCTTCTTCGAGAAATGGGTAATCGGTGTAACCAAGAACGGGATCCGGAACATAGAATGTGCTCCTATTATACTTGGTAAGAGGAGCATCAATCTCGAACCTTCTCACTAAATCCGGATTCGCCAAAAACGAGCGCCCATAAGAAATCAAATCCGCATAATTTTCAGAAATGGCACAATTGCCCTTACTCCTATCGTAACCACCAGCAGCAATAAAAGTGTTCTTGAAAGCCTTTCTCATGGGGAGTAGCTTATGAGGAACTTCATCTTCCGGCCCTTGATGCACCCTCGCACCAGTCACCCTCGGTTCGATCATGTGTAGGTAGACAAGGTTGTATTTGTTGAGTTCGTTGGCCATGTAAAGGCCTAGTTTATCGGGATCTGAGTCGATCGACTCCATGAATTCGGTGTATGGAGATAGTCTTATTCCAACTTTGTTAGATCCTATCTCGTTCGTCACCGCTTCCACTATTTCAAATGCAAATCGGCTTCGATTTTCCAAGCTTCCCCCATATTCATCGGTTCTGTCGTTGACTTGATCTTTGAGGAATTGTTCGATTAAGTAGCCGTTTGCTCCATGTATCTCAACTCCATCAAATCCTGAAAAACGCAAAAAATGTTAAAAAATTATGAGTTGCTAGTTTTAGTATGCTTGAGAATAATTATGTACAAACCTGCTTCAATGGCATTGCGAGCAGCGACCCTAAAATCATTGACGACACTACGGATTTCATCTTTGGATAGTCGTTTAGGTGGGGCCCAATCTACTCCGTCAAGGCCAGGTGTAATTCCCTTGTCCGTTGATGAGATTGGAGCTTGGCCATTGGGTTGGTAACCTGAATATTAAAGGCATTTATTATTCAATTTATGTAGAGCATTTGTGGACCGAACAAGAACTCAAAACATTTTTGAATATTTATATATGTATATATTTCGTCATGTATTTTTTTTTGGCTCTGTTAATTACTCGGATCTTAGGTTCGACCGATATGCTTTACATACACATCGACTGTACAACATAATCAATTTCAGTGTTACACGAGTTAAGTAAATATTACACATACCGTAAGTAGAGACACGGCCAACATGCCATATTTGCAGGAAAAACACGCCACCCTTTTCATGAACTGCATCCACAATCGGTTTCCATGCCTCCACCTGCTCCTTTGTCCAAATCCCGGGTGTGTCTCGGTACCTATAAATTTGATGGTAATAATTTTATATCAAGTTGCAATTTAGCTAGAACAAACACATAGTGCATTTGAACTTAACGATTTGGATTGGAGAAATGATTTCAAATAACTCCAACTGAGATAGGAATGTGATTCGATATTCATTGCAAATGAATCGATCAAAACAAAGCTAAACGGAAATATTACTACGGATTTGAAATACTTCCCTTCAAATGTTGTCACCCAAATACAACCAACGAGTGGGCTATACGAGTCGAAACTCTTGAAAATACAATTGTGATAATACGGAAAATAGAAGAAAGGTGTGAAATGAATAATACCCTTGTGCAGTATCGGATACACCAGTTGCTTCAGCGATGAGAAGACCGCCTTTGGTTGTTCGCTGACTGTAGTACACTGCCGCGTGAGGCTGCGGCACATTGTGGAAAGACCGGTTTCGAGTTAACGGTGCCAATACAATTCTGTTATTGTTCAAATATTTGAAAAAGAGATTGAAATAAAAATTAAAATATGCTTCAGAAACACAACAACAATGTACTAAAGATCCACACACTATTTCTTCATCTTCAAAGTTCATAGGTAGTAATTAATTATAAACCTAAAAATAAAAAATAAAAAATTGAAAAAAAATTAAAATTAAAATTAAAATTAAAATTAAAATTAAAATTAAAATTAAAATTATTAAAATATGCTTCAGAAACCAACAACAATGTACTAAAGATCCACACACTATTTCTTCATCTTCAAAGTTCATAGGTAATTAAATATAAACCTAAAAATTAAAAACAAAAAAAACTTCGGAAAAATCAATAATCACAGATTTAATTAATTAATACAGCAGCACAAATTTTCTCGATCGACCTGAATCATATACACTGTGACGCTCATTGATTAGCTTAGATCCAAAAAATTCACTCTCCGATTCAAATTTTTAATCGGCATCGCACACAATCACAAAATTACAAAAAAACCTAAAAAAAAAAGGGGAAAATTAATGCAGAAAACGAACCTGTGAGAGAGATCAAATTCGCCCATTTTGTAGGGAGTGAGCAGAGGAACGAGGTTTTGAGCTGCCATAACTATGAACAATCTGCGGCGACAAATGCTGTGAAGAGAGAGAGAATTGAAGAGTTGGCTGAAGAAAAAAAATCTTCTGTATGGATATTTTATAGGCTTACTGCTACGAATCAATATATATATATATATATATATATTTCTCTGTTCACCGACAGAATTTTCTGGCCACATATAAATGCAAATCCCTCAACGGCTACTGTTCATGATTGGCGTGTATGGTACGCGTCTCTTTCGAATTGCGATTTAACACGTTCTAGAGAGAGAAAGTAGAGAGAAAGAGTGTGCATTTATGGCCATACGTTACTGAACACGACACTCTTGCATCAATGTGCGTATCGGGTGACGTCGTTTTCATTTATTTTATTATTTGGGTTAACTTCACGTGTCTTTCACATCAGTGACACGTGTCCAAATAAAAGTTCCGAATATTTCGGTAACTAATACATTAATAGAAAAACAACTAGAGAACAAGTGTAACTTGTACACTAATAGAAAAATACTAACACAACAATAATAGAAAAACTAACAAGAATTAATTAGATATAAACTCATTTCTCTCTCTCTCTCTCTCTCCCTTTTTTATAGCTTTACTAAACATAATTAACTATGTTTAAAGGGTAACTCATTCTTCTCAATACAGTTGTGGCAATGTTTGGAATGATCTTGGTAGTTATTTTTATTTTATTTTGGAGATATATGTTTTGATAGAATTATTTAAAAATGAAAGTAATGTTTGTTTATGATTTGAGATTATATAAAATACACTGTAGCAATCAATCATATTTAAAATTATTTAAAAAATGTACAAAAGATCATGTGCGGGGGAGAGAGAACCTTTAGAAGTTCTTTTGGGAATTTTTTTTGATAAGGTAAAATAAACACGGCATTATTTTTGGGAAAGAATAAAAGTGAAAAGAAAAATGAACCAAACATTGCCTTAGCAATTGTTATGCAATCCTCATTAAATTAAAGACTCTAAATGAGTTTAACAAGGATAATTGGATAATACACTTGGTTATTTACACTGAATAGATTCCAATAATAAATTTACAATATATAATTACACATACATATGTATGTATGGTTAGTGACTAGTTATTTAGTCAAATTTATGATTGAAATCCAACCAATATAAATAACAAGTGTAACATCTAACTAATGCACGCAAAAGAAATTGGGGGGCTTAAGATATGTGTCACTAGTGACAAAACTTATTACAACTAAATGACAAGTTCAACTAAACTTTTGTTGCACGTTCTTTATAAAATTCATTCCAAAAATGCCATTTCATTCACAAATTCGAAATCTGCATTGAGTAAAATTCAAATTGCATTTATCGTTTTTTTAATCTGCATTTAATATTTTTATTTTTCCAACCAACATTTTTTAATTTTTTTTATACAAAACACGTTTGTCCTTTTCTTTTTTCTATCTATTTCTTTCTGTTTATTCATTTTAGTATTTTTTACACTATTAAAAAAAAATTATCTTCATAATCTTGAAGATTACGAAAAAATGTTTGTCATTTTTTAAAATTCAATTTACATATTTTTGAATATTTTTTTGTGATTTTATCTTGTTAATATTGTAGTAGACTATAGTATATTACGATGTACTATAGCATACTACAGTGTGTACTATAGTTTACTACGATGCATTGTTCCATACCATAGCAACAAAACAACTTTCAGCCGCTGCCAACAACTCACAACCGCCGTCAATCCCTAGCAACCATTAACTCGCAGCCGCCGCAACTTCTATCCACTAAACCCTAGCTGCCAACCAAAACTCTAACACCGTCAAAGAGCCCTAACTTGATGCAACCACCTCCCACCGTAGATCTAACCTTACACCACCGTTTCAAATTGTCATCTACCACCATAACCATCCACTCTATAACCACGACATCCGCTGCCTCTCTCAACCATCTTGAGCCATGAGTCGCCGCTGCCATTTGCAGATCTGTAGTTCTCCGACGCCGCCTCCCACTATAATCACCATAGCCACCATAACTGAGTGGTGCGCGAGAGAGAGTGATAGAGAGAGCGAGAGGGAGAGGGAGAGGCGAGACGAAGAGCGAGAGGGAAAGGCGCGACAAAGGGAAAAAGAGAAAACAAAAGAAAAATAAATTTGATTAGTTAAAGAAACGTGAGATATTATACTTAGGGTATAAGGGCAAACTAGGAATAAAATAAAAATTAGGAATGTGACCGGTATATTATTTCGAAATAGAAATTCAATTAAAAGATTGAATTTAAGGTTATCATTTATTTCAAATTAGGTTTCATTCAAGAAACTCTTAGCATAATACCCTAAGAAAATTAGAGACTCTCCTCTCCATATTACACTTATTTAATAAATTGTATAACTAATGCAAAAAAAATAAATAAATCATGCACACATATTAACAACACTACATATGCACATTAAAAGAGTATACACAAGAGCACATGGACACACACACACACACTACACATGCTATAGATTAATATAGCATGTGCACACACAAAACTATGTATGCACAATTAATCAAATAAAATAAAAATGCCCAAGAACCAGTGGCGGATCCAGGATTTTTGCCAAGGGGGTTCGAAATTGTAGAATAAAAAATTAAAATATCACTTTATAAAAATAGTGGACCAAAAATTTATAATTTACAAATTTTGGGTGAATTGTGGAAATATTTAAAGACCAAAAAGTTGAAAAATGTTGAGATTTTAAAAAAGTTCCATTATTGTGAGGGTGGGTTTCGAACCCATGACTTATTAATATAAAAACACATATCTTTACCACTTCAACCAACTACCTTTTCTGTTATTTCAGGTATAATAGTAATATTTACTGAAAACCAAGGGTGTGCAACTGCACACCCTAGACCATGGCTACATCCGCCACTGCCAAGAACACACATATGTGCACATGAACACATGCACCCATTACAAAACACATTGTGAATTTTAATGGCTTCAAAAAAGTATATTCTTTGTGTATATTCGTATTTATTTAATTAGTTCGGCACAATTATAAGTGTGTTACATGTTTTTTATGCTTGTTTTGTTAGATTCACAAGCTTATGATACTTACTATATGATGAGTTTAAATGTATATATATATAATAGTTTAAATAGAAATGAGTTGTATTCTAAATATCCATCTCATCTATGAATTTTAGGCCCCCGAATTCTCAGGAACTCGATAAACAATAAAACCTTTAAAAAAAAAATTAAATAAAAATAGGCAAACATCACCTATCTCCTTTTACAATGATCATTCCAGAAAAAAAGAACACACAAGAAGTTCATAATATCACAAAGCATAACAAATTCAACCTAAAACATATTATAATTACTTTTAATTAATTAGCTTCTTCAAGAAACGGATAATCGGTATAACCAAAAACGGGATCTCGAGACAAGAACGTCTTCTTATTGTACTCGTTAAGAGTAGCATCCAACTCGAACCTTCTCACTAAATCCGGATTAGCCAAAAACAAGTGCCCATACGCGACCAAATCCGCGTGATTTTCAGAAATGGCTAAATTACCCTTACTCCTATTGTAACCACCGGAAGCAATAAAAGTATTCTTGAAAGCCTTTCTAATGGGAAGTAGCTTATGAGGAACTTCATCTTCAATACCCGCACCACTAAGCACCGACGGTTCGATCATGTGAAGGTAGACAAGGTCGAATTTATTAAGTTCTTTGGCCAAGTAAAGGCCTAATGCATCGGGGTCCGAGTCAATCGACTCCATAAAATCGGTGTATGGAGATAGCTTAATCCCAACTCTACTAGAACCGATCTCGTTCGTCACTGCTTCAACTATTTCAAGTGCGAATCGGCACCGATTTTCCAAGCTCCCGCCGTATTCATCGGTCCTGTCGTTGACTTTATCTTTGAGAAACTGTTCGATTAAGTAGCCGTTTGCTCCATGTATCTCAACTCCATCAAATCCTAAATAATTACACACAAAATATTGCAAATATTGAGTTGATATATAGTTTTAGTATATGGTTGAGGAAATTTATGTACAGTTAAACCTCTATAAATTAATACAGCCGGGACTAGGGAAATTCTATTAATTTAGGGAATTATTAAATTATTGAGTTAATATATTTAATACATTTTCACCGAGTCGGGACCGAGATAAACTATTATTTAATCGAGGTTATTAATTTATCGAGTATTAATTTATTGAGGTTCTACTGTACTTATAAGGAGAAGGCATGCACAAAAAAATAAACCTGCTTCGATAGCATTGCGAGCGGCGACCCTAAAATCATTGACAATAGAAGGGATTTCATCGTTAGATAGTTGTCTAGGTGGGGCCCAATCTACTCCCTCAAGGCCGCGTGTAATTCCCTTGTCGGTTGATGAGATTGGAGCTTCCCCTTCGGGTTGAAAACCTGAAATATTGAAAGACATATTTATTTATTCGAATCCACACGAGACAACAAAGATTAAATCTTTAAGTGTTACATGAGTTGGTAAATATTTCGACATACCGTAAGTCGAAACACGGCCAACATGCCACAATTGCAAGAAAAATACGGCCCCTTTTTTATGAACTGCGTTGACAATTGGCTTCCATGCCTTCACTTGCTCCCTTGTCCAAATTCCAGGCGTTTCTCGGTACCTGTAAATTAAATTCGAACGTGTGCTAAAAAAAATTAAAGTATTAATAGTACGGGCATTTTTCTAGCGATTCGATATAACCAATGTACCGATCGAATGCAGTAAACTCAAAAATAATAGCTCATCAAAAGATATTTTAAACCTTATATTTGTATATGAGAAACATATATAAAAAATAGTGTTTGACCATCGTGTTACGTGTAGGTAATCGCTTGCCGTCATTTACATATTTTTTTCGTATTTAAATTTCGAACACCTATAATTAAAATCCTGGATTGCTTAGATAATCGCCGTACATCGATATATCCTAAATATTGATCCAATACAACTAGTTAATGATAGGAAAACAAAATTAACAAAGGTGTGAGACGACGAATATACCCTTGTGAAGTGTGAGATACACCGGTTGCTTCAGCAATGAGAAGACCACCTTTGGTTGCTCTCTGAGAGTAATACACCGCCGCGTGAGGCTGCGG